CCAGGGCCCAGGGTCCACAGCGGTGCCTGCCTGCCTCACCCAGTCCAGCCCAGAGGCACAGACCAGCCTCTGATGAGGGCTTTAGGGCAGACATTGGCTTTAGGGAGCAGGCAAAGGAAATAAGAATCTCTTGATCATTTCAATATTTAGGCGATAACTTCACAGAAGATGTCTGATTCCTATGATGCTAACCAGACTTGTAATAGTGCATAGAGATTTCATTTCAATAAATTGGCTTATCTGAAACCTTCAGGTTCTGGGCTTCCCATGGGTTCTATGGATTTTGCAGTTTATGTTCAGCCATGGTCACAGGCTACCTCCTGTCTCCATGCATCTAGATAGAACTCAGGGGCCTCCCAAAGTTCAGTATTTCCCCCTCTACACATTCTGCCTGGAGCCTGACTTTAATAGAACTTAACAATTCTTAAAAGTATTCTATGTATACTTCACTTCTCCAGCAAACTCACTTCTGGACAGACACAGAATAGGATAACTTTGGATTCATATTTTCTTTTTTACTCGATAAAACTGATGCTCACTTGGCAGCTGTGACCTGACTTTCTATGCAAAAAATAGTTGGAGTAAAACAGTTCCATTCTTTGATATTGGAAAATGAATTCCATTCGCCTCAAGACAGCTCCATATTTTCACAGATAAAAATGTTCATTTCATAAATTAAGAAAATGCTCCATGAGTTACAAATACCATGTTGAATCTGAGACATTTTGGGTATGAACTGTGATAATGGCCATTTATTGTAATTACAAAGAGGGACAAAGCCCTGAGTGGGTGAGTGGGGTGAGGAGGGGGCCTCAGTGCTTGAGCTGATGGAGCTGCTGAGACTGGTCCGTATCAGACCAGAGCACAGAGGCAGAATTTGCTGATCATCAAGTATTGGGAGTAGCAGGATCTCCCCATGGAGGGGATTTCGGAATACTTAATTCATAATGAGTGCAAGTAGAAATAACATATGTGAAAACCTGTCCAAACATTTTTCTACACAAACACATAGAAAGAGGGAGAGAGATGCCTTAGAAAATGTCGTCTCTTCATCACTCCTCTTGACTTTTGGGTTTGTGTAATCAGATTTGTCCCATGGATGTTCTCTGACTTGAAGCCATTGTATGCAAAATGGCTGCTGAACAGAAATGTCACTTCTCTCAGGCTAAGTTTTCTCTGTATTGGAGATGCAATAGGTGTGATATTGAAAACCAGTTTTTGATCAAAATGGATGAGGTTTTTTTGGTGTCAAATATGGGCAAGCTGATTAATAAAATCTTTTCAATGTGACATAGTTTACATTTCAAGTATCTTAATGGGGCCCCCAAAACTGTTACTAAACGGAATGACAGGTGAATTAGCAACAGAATCAGGTAGCCCTAATCATGCACTGAAACCCTTCCTGTTGTCCGAGGCACCGTGACTGTGTCCTCGCTCCACTCACCCACTGGCGCTGAGCAGGAGCAGCCTGCAAAGAGCAGTCTGAATTTCACAGGGAGGCAGAGGCGCTCACAGAGTCTGATCATCAGCACAGAATATTCCTTCTGCGGGTGCCAGGTGAGCCCTGAGCTTCCTGGGACAGCTGGGACAGGAGATGCCGCTGCCCTGCCCCGGCCTCCCTCCTTCACTCCCAGTTACCCTCCCATTGCTAATGGGCCTGAGACAGGCGACCTTGGGGAAGGGACCCACAGTGGGGAATTGTGGACTCTGGGTCCCAATGACCCAGCACAGAGGCCTCAGCTGATCCCAAGACTTACAACAGAAGCCTCGGACCCCCCTGGTTCCAGCTGCACACTCCCCGTGGGAAAGTCCCCCTTTCCCAAGAGCAGACGGGTGTCCGTGGCGTTGATTCCCACGCAGTAGCTTTCACTGGTCTGGAGTTAAATATGTTCTCGAAATATGAAATCTGGCATTTGCTATGAATGATCACAATTTCCTGGACTGCTCAACAATGAAATATTTTGACTCAGTCTTGTCATCACACTGCCACTGGGGAGATCTTGTACAGACAATTTTTCGGACCATATGAATAGAGAAAATTGTTAAAGGAATGAAGATGTAGGAAGTTAAGATATGGCAAAATACCAATTTAACAAAATTAACAAATATGATGCTATAGTCACACTGATCAATTCCACTCTGCTTCTCTTTTTCTTGCAAAGAATCTATGTCGTCGTCTGGGCAGGAGGCCGGTACAGGTCACTGCCCAGTCAGGCCAGGCAGGCAGACTAGCACAGCACCCAGTCAGCTGGCCCTGTCCCCGTGAGGGGCTGTCCAGGTCCCCACCCACCCACGCTCCTTGTCCCAGTTCCAGGCTGAAACGGTGCCCATGACAGGGCTTGAGAGCTGGTGTCTCGGTGGCTGAGGCTCTCACGGTCCAGAGCTCTCTACCATCTTCCTCTTAAACACGTTCAGTCTCCTGTGACAGCTCATGAGACAGAAGCCAACCACATGGGCATCTGTACCGGCCACGAGGGAGGTTTTTGTTCGGGGCTCACACTGTGGGAGGAGCATATATAGCCTGCAAGCAGTAATAGACTCCAGCATCCTCAGCCTCCAGCCTGCTGATCTTCAGGGTGAAATCTGTCCCTGACCCGCTGCCACTGAACCTGTCAGGGACCCCTGTTGCCCTGTTGGATGCTGCATAAATCAGGAGCCTTGGAGACTGACCCGGCTTCTGCAGGTACCAGTTCAAAAAGTTGAGTCCATTATATTCTAGGCTCTGACTAGCCCTGCAGGAGATGGAGACCTGCTCCCCAGGGGCGACGGCCAGAGAGAGGGGGGTCTGGGTCAGCACAACCTCCCCACTTGATCCTGAAGAAAGGAAAAAAGTGACATTATCAGTCATTTTCATTATCTCAAGTCTGTTATTAATTTAGGCTAAAATACCGCTTTGCTTTACAGTCAATTCTTGAGGTTTATATTTCCACACCAAAGACTATGAGATCGCATTAAATAACCGGTAGAAAGAGACCTCAAAGTGTTATGCAACCTCCCCAGTTAGTCTCCCAGCTTGTAGCTGCTTAGCCAGCTCCAGATTCAGCATCACGTTCTCCTAAGGACAGGACATACCCTCCTAACACAGAGGCGAAATACACACGCAGGGCAGAGGCCCCCAGAGCTCAGCCTCCCGACCCCGTGGGGAGCTCGTCTCCTTCTGCCTCACCTGGGGTCCAGAGCACCAGCAGCCCCAGCAGCTGAGCAGGGAACCTCATGTTGAGACCTTGGACTGAAGTCCCTTGTGGGGTGAGATCAGCCTGCAGCTGAGGTTTTATCTCAGCCCTGCCAGGGGATGGCCTCCCTAGGAACCAGCATGCAAATGCCCTGGGGAGCAGATGCAGAGGGGGGGGTGTTGGGGGGGGGAGGTGGGGGGGTGGGCTCCATATGGACAAGACCTGTCAGTCTCTCATCACTTTGATGGAGAAAAAAGAAATATTTTTCTGACCCAAAGCTAAGAATGAAAAAGACTGCATGTTTTTCAATTTGTTCCGTGGACAATAAAAGGTGTGTATTCCTATCTCCCCTCAAATAACCTGTTATTGATGCACTGACTTCTGGCCACGCAGAGACATGTCCAGGGCTATCTCAGGTGTGTGAGTGGCCATCTGATGGAAAGCCCAGGTGGTCGCACATGTGACACAGGCCCCACTCTGTGCCAATGAGCAGCATCTCAAAGGACAGGATGGACATGCTGGTTGGTGTTTTTTTTATCTGCTGTTAACAGGTTAACAGTTTCACTGTCAGCCAGAGGGACTAGTACCCTAAATTTTATAAATATATTAAAGTGTGAAGATCTTGACAAGGAAAATAAAATTTCTTTCTCACGGAGACCAAATAGAGTTGTTAAAGAGGAAAGAAAAAATGTTATATCTTAGTCAAGTGATACTAAATTCATGTCAGCCTGTTGTTAAAGTCTGTGGAGCTCTGTCATAATTACACACTATAGTCATCATAGATTAAGAAGTTCCTTAAGGAAAAGAGTCCTTAGGGGAATGGAAAAAGTAAATTAGAAATTTTATATGTATATAAAAGATGTATATATGTATATATATTTTAATAAATACTCATGCATGTGTGTGTGGGAAGGGCGTATGAATAAGCAAACAAGCATGAAAGTCGCACAGGCCAGGCCACATCTGAGCCTCATCATGCATCAGGACACAGGTGACTGAGAGGAGGAAAGTGAGGCATGACCAGCCTGAGGTCCCGCGGGAGGGGGACCCCCGTGTCTCCAGTCCTGACCACGGTCCCTGAAGGACAGACGGCGCCAGGGGCTGCTCTTCCGGTTCCGTCCTCACCTCTGATGGAAGCTGCCGCTGGACCACGTGATGTCACCGGGCCCCACTGAGCAGGTGACGCTTTGGTCACATTGGGGTGCCGGTTGTCACCTCCTCTCATGACCATCATAGGAAGCCTTTATCATGCCCCTTTAGTAGGTAAATGACACCTGGAGTGCTAATGCGAAACAGAGTGGCAGCCAACAATATTGTATTATAAACTTTCAAGTAGCTAATAGAAAAAATCGTATCTATGTTTACGATAAGATGTAATTATGTGATAGGAGACAGGTGTGAGCTAATGCTATGGCATTAATACTATTGCCGTATGTAAATAGACTTGATGGACCCGTTTCCCTTTGTAAATTTATGCAGGTCTATTTCATAAAAAAATAAGCAGTGTTACTGACTGGGGCATAGAGAGTGATGCTCTTTAATGGAATGGGGACACAGACTTTGTGATGCCTTTAGAGAACATTTGAAAATGCGCACTAAAGGTGGCTCAACGGGTGTGCATGCAGCTGTGAGAAGAGTAAGGGCTCAGCAGTGTTTCAGGAGCATCTGCAGGGGAGCAGAGCGGGCGCAGACACTCGTGGGATGGGTCGGTTGTGGAAGAGTGGAAGGATGAATCAGCTGTGACACCGGACAGCGGAGCGTCTTCGGCACTCAAAGGATCGTGACAGACGCTTGCAGGTCCTCGGTGCTGATGTGGGCGAGGAGGCCCAGGAGAAGAGGCCACATTCCTGGTGACCTGGAACATTCTGGAAATGGCAACACGGGGAGCCAGTGAAAACCTCGGTGACTTCAGGGCAGTGGAGGAGGCGGGGAGACAGGAGGAGCTCAGAGCACAGGAGGGCAGCCACGCTGCTCTATGTCACGCTATTGGTGGACCCCTGCAGCTATGGATTACCCATATTTTAATCCGTCCTCAGGATATAGAACAGGGGTGAGCTCGCTTATAAATTTTTACCTGTGTGTCATGAAGTGTAAGTATTGGTTTCTCATTTGTAACAAATGTATCCTCTGGCGTGGAAAGCTTCATGTTGGAAAGAGGGGAGCCCCTGGTGCCACAACCTCTGTCCCCATCAAGGTGGAGCAGGTGAGAGCAGCTCTCGGCACTTGGGACACCAGGGGGAGCAGCTGGGGCTGGCCAGTCTCACACATCTGCTCCCTGGTGGTTTTTGTTCAGGCCTGTGTCACTGGCCACTGTGGGAGGACTATGATTCCACTACTGACAGTACTGCAGAGCCTGTCTGTTCCCCTGAAAAGGTCTGGAGTCAGAGCAACCCCATGGCAGGAGGGCCCGGAAAATGACAGGGCCGGGCTATGTGAGCAGCATGGCCTCTGATAGGCAGAGGGTCAGGTCCACATCCTACAACCTCCTGAGATGCCAAAGAAATGGTTTGCAGAAGCTACGGTTTGATTTGTCAAAGACACAATGGAGGCAAAACGGTGGTTTGGCGAGGAATCGGAGGACTCCTGGGCTAGGTGTGCAAACCTTACTCAGTCAGGCACATTCCAGAACCACTCTGGGAACCCATGGTGAGAGGCCCAGGTGAGGATCACAGCAGGCAGCCTGCGCTTATCATAGAGCTGGTGCAAAGTTTGTCATTTGAAGGAAGTCAAATTTAAATGCACAGCATCTCCTCTGGCTGGTGTAAGTCTCAGGGCTCAGTTTGTAACACCAACCATCATCAATATCCACGGAACAATGAAGCTGCAACTGCTAACAAAGTCGCCCTGAGCAGGGTGGAGTGAGGTGGACTAAGGTACTGTCCGGGGACTCGTCTCTGCCCTGTGCTGCTTCCAGGCAGGTCATGGAGACTTTTCCCTTAGAACTCTCAGTGCAGATGAATTCTGGGGATCCAGTGTTGCTACCAGAGTCTGGGTGGATCGAAGCACAACTGAGCCCCTGAATGGATGCTACCGCACCCATGTTCTCCTGAAAGTTGCGCCACCTGATCAACCAGGGTGCGAGGTCTCTGCCCCCGTCCCTGTGGGACTCACATCCCTTCCCCAGGACGCACTTCCTCCCTTCCAGCCTGAGGCAGGGCCCAGAGGGCCAGGACTGCTGTCCAGGGCCAAAGTCTGGGGAAAGCCCACAGCAGAGACGGGCCACTGATAAGGCCACGGTGGTCAGTGAGGTTGTGAGTCTGAACACGGGGATCTGGAATCTGCTGTGAACTTAGAAAAGTTTAAGTGACACGAACATTTTGACTACTCATTCTATCATATTCACCCTGAGGATATTGTGTGTGTTGTGTGACCTCAGGCTATGTTCATTAGTGGGGAGGTAAAGTTTAAATTGAAGGAAGCTAAGAAAATGGGGAAAGAGCAATTTCTGAATACTATGAAATATTATCCAAAGTACACACAGAGTGCTGGGTCTCAGCATGCGTTCAATTGTGTGGCCCCTGCCGCTTCCCCTGCTGCCTGCTCTGGGGTGACCCCAGTGTATGCAGGCAGGGAGCAGAAGGTGCCCTATTCACCCCCTCTGTCATGACTGGGGCTCAGGGTCCCTACATCTCCCAGCTGCAGTGCAGGGTCAGCTGGGTGCCAAGAGGCCTGGAGAGGCGGTGCCTGTGAGGAACCAGGATACGGAACCCTGAGCCTCAATCCAGTAGCCTGCCTGGGCCCCATCATCTCCCTCTCACACCCAGGCCTCTGAGCCTGAGCCCCAGAGAGGCAGCACCTGCGGGCGGCGGGGCCTGCTGCGAGGGAGGTTTTTGTTCGGGGCTCAACCACTGTGCGAGGAATATAACCAAACTGCCCACAGTAATAGACTCCAGCATCCTCAGCCTCTACCCTGCTGATCTTCAGGGTGAAGTCTGTAGCCGCCCCGCTGCCACTGAACCTGTCGGGGACCAAGGTGGGTCTGTTGGATACTTTATAGATCAGGAGCCTTGGAGACTGGCCCGGCTTCTGCTGGAACCAGCTCAAGTAGGTGTTTCCGTTACTACTGACTACGCTCTTACTGGCCCTGCAGGAGATGGAGACCTGCTCCCCAGGGGCGACGGCCAGGGAGAGGGGGGTCTGGGTCAGCACAATCTCCCCACTGGAGCCTGAAAAAAAATAAAAGTATATACAGTTTTATCAACAAATTTAATGAAGCATTTTGATAATTTTCCTGTGGTAATAATTTCTTGCTACATCATTGTATTTTTTATTATGAGATTGTCTGAAGAAATCATTTGATTTCAAAATTCATTGCAGGAATCCCTAGAACCCTCCACACCTTCCCTCTCTTTCTGTGTCACAGAAAGAGCACAAGTCATTGACATTGATACCGAATTCTTTCTTACAGCTCCCCAGACACTGAGACCTGGGTCTAGTGCACCCAGAACACACAGAAGCAGCCCTGTGCTCCCTCCACACCCGCGGCCACCCCCTGCCCTGGTCCTCACCTGGGCTCCAGAGCAGCAGCAGCCCCAGCAGCTCTGCAGGGAACCTCATGCTGACAAGCTGCCTGAGGGGCCCCTGAGGGAGCAGGGCCCAGCTGGCCTTTTAGCTCAGACCACAAGGGGCAGCTCCTCCCTGGGGGCCTCATGCAAATGCCCTGGGGAGGCTGGGCAGAGAGAGAACAAAGGGGGTGCAGGAGACACCTGCTCCTCCTAGGGCCTTAAATAGTGGCAGCGTTTAACTCTCAGCACTTGGGCACCATGAGTAACAGCTGGGGCTATCCGGCCGTACCCTTACCCTTTCACTTCTCTCCCGGGTTTTTGCTCAGACTCATATCACTGTGAGAGGGAAATCGTTAGCCTGCTGACAGTAGTAAGTGGCGGCATCCTCAGGCTCCAGGCTGCCCATGGTGAGCGGGAAGCCTGTCCCACACTATCTGCCTCGGAAGCCAAAGGGGACCCCGGGGCTCAAACTTTTTCAAAATAGATGATGAGTTTTGGAAGTTTCTGTAAGAACAAAAGTAAAAGAAACAACAAAGTTGAGTCCCCATGTCCTGAGGGGCCTCCTGAGACTGACTTTGGTCTAAAGAGAGTAATGATGGCCCTGGGCACGCAGCAGCCTCCAGACACTGGGCAGAGACACAGGCAGTTTGCTCCCCTGTAACACACTGGAAGCTCCTCCCAGGTGTCCCTAGCCCCTGA